TTTAAATCCATGACTGTCCAGACTTGTAAGATCTTTAATAAAGAATTTGATCCGAGGTATCTACTGCATTTCATCATATCTAGTATATGAGTTATGGTCAAAAACATGTTTTGCAAGGTCACAGTGACATTTAACCTTTTGATCACCAAATTCTAACAGGATTCTCCAGAATACCCAAGTGTCCCAGATGTAGACAAATTGCCTCAAGAAAAACAAAGTATGGAACAGACGTTAGGTAATGACCTTGACATTTGACTGCCAATATCTAAATAGTTTATCTTGGAGTAGAAGAAATTCTGTCGTGGCTATGCTGAGATTTTCTGTTCACAGGAATGGGACGATTAAGTTTCTAAGCTTAAAAGTGCAAAACATATTTCATGCAATAAAAGCCATTGAGGCGCACTGAAGACTGACCATCAAATATTTTTCATCAATGAGTACTGTGTGATAAGAGGCTGCCATCGCAAGCAATATTTAAAACACAATGTAAATTCGAGAAATTGGAACGCAAGGTAGAGGTCGCTATGATTCACCTCCATTCCAAAGAGACCGAGGTTTATACAACCCTTGTATTCATAAATGAAATCACACACAATCTAGTGAATGGGGCTAGAAATGGAATTGTGGCCAAATTCAGGGAAATGATGAAAAGGGGCTTAAACACAAGAACACTTATACAAAAAAAAGAGAAAAAAGAATGTATGTACCTGGTTTCTTTTTCATTCCTTTTGTTTTCCCGAATGATGTCGTACATTGGGTCTTCATGAGCCTAAAATAATGAAACACAATCAGTCATATAAAGAAAGGAAATGAAAGTCACATCAAGTTACAAGAGTTTAAAAACTCATGTTGGATCCAGGAAATCGTCACTTGAAGACCATTGCTCTGATTTTAATGTCATGTCAGCACTTTTAAAAACCTCCCTGTTACTATATAAGCTGGGCAAATATGAAACAGTTGCATTTATGGTAATCATTGCAGAGGCTGTGTGCTCCTGCAGTGTGCACTGTTCCATTTCAGGCACATTGGAACAAGCTGTGTGAGGACGTCTGCTGCCCACATGTTCCTCAGTATAAACTAAAAGTGCCCCAGCACTGTTGTTAACCTCCACTCGGGTCAGGACTCATGCCTCACCTCGTAATACCCGACCTATTTAACCATTTTTGGATATTGTGACTGAATAACTATAAGTGGGCCATTTTCACTAAGAGCGAGCGCGCTCACCACTCTGAACTGCTCCAGTTTCTGGTTGCCTTTGATGAAGAAAGGACACTCCCTGTCTCCTGTCCTGTGACCGTAACGCTTGCATCTCCAGCCTGAGAAAAAGAGGAAACACATATCAATGTGCATACCAGAAGAAAAGAGGATAACTGACATGTCAGGTTCAAGGCTGCAGGTTTATAGGTTATTGACTTTACAAGCTAAATCTGAAACGTTGTGTTAAATCTCATGGCCTCATTAGCAAGCATAGTATATGCAGTTTGACAAATTAAATTATACAACAAACACAACCATACCGTAATTAACCATAAGACCAGCAAACCTTTAGCTAAAATGTAAAAAGCGCTGGAAAAAAGCCAGTGAGAGAAATCTGTAATCGCCACAAAAATATTCCTTCTGCGATTTTATTTCCCTTATGTGATTCAAAGTCTCAACAGAATTAACACACTCAAACATTCTGCTCATGTAGAGAGATGTGTTGCAAAATGTACATATCGATATCAAGGACGGACCATCTCTAATTCAGAGTCAGTCTTCCCTGAAAAGAGCTTAAGTTTCACAGTGAATCAATGTTCAACACTCGGAGTGGAGCAGTGGAGCAACCATGAAGTACTTGAGTCTTTACTAAGTGAGACCACACAAATTGTGTTTATCCCGCAAAAGTAGCTGTGTGTGAAATTGTTTACCCAGTTCTTTTGTGCCTGTTTCATTGACATTGAAGTCTTAAAACGTTCCTTTAAACAGGATGACATATTCAAACATTTCCTCAAAGGATGGCAGAGCGACTCATGCTCAGATTATGCAGAACAAATGCCAACTCGTGGACAGTGTGCGTGTGTGTGTCACTTCTCAAGTCCCTGGCTGTTCACACTGTATGAAAATGAGTGGGAAGAAGGAATGAATGGATGCTGACTATAATGACAGTCTTTGACCAAAGAGACAGAAGGTGATTCCCACTGCATCATTATTAATCTCTAGTCCATCATGTTCGTCATCAAGTCCGCTGCCCACTCAGGATGGTGGTTTACTCTCACCTATACTTCTTGAGCTATAAATGCTACTTTTACTTTAACTAACATTTATTACAACTAATAATAATCTTTATATACACAGGATGGCTCCCAGACAGTCTGTTTATTCACTCTTGCAGATGACTGGTCACCTGCCATTCAGACTAATCTGTCCTGAAACCAGTCGGCAGGTCTGACTGGTTTCAGACTGACAGACGAGCGCCCAATAGGAGCAACTGAAGCATTATTGTCATTATAGTCAATAATGCTTCAGTTATAGTCAATAAAGTCTTGTTGAATCTGTTATGGAGACAGTAATAAACAAACCGGACAAAACATTTTCTGTGAAACAAGAACAAACAACTGCACGCTGCCGACTGTTTACATTTGTCTGTTGCTCTGCGCTACATCACATGATGTGTTGCTCTGTTCTGCGACCGCTAGACCCATTTGCTTAGTCTAGTGTCCTAGTGATGCCAGGCTACCTTCAAGTTGAGAGATGATGAAAAAATGATTTAAAGATCCTGTGTTTAGGATTTAGTGGCATCTAGTGGTGAGGACACAGATGCAACCAGCTGAAAACCCCTCATCTGTTCCTATGATAAAAAAAATAAAATCACATAAGGTCCTCTCTAGAGCTAATGTTGGGCTTGTTGTATCTGAGCTACTGAAGAAAAACATGGCAGAGTAACAGGGCACGCTCCATGGAAGAGGACTCGCTCCTTAAGAAACAGCCTGACAGATGTAGGAATATGAGACATGAAACTGAGTTACCCACAAGCAACTGCAACAATTTGCAACATTGAATTTAAGGTGCAGTTATGCAATTTAAAGATTCAGTGTGTGAGATTTAGGTGAAAGGAATCTACAGGCAGAAATTGAATATAGAAGATGTCACTAAAATCTCCACACTGAACCTTTAAGGCCTTGAGTTCCTAATAATTTCCAGCAAATTAAGACGATTGCAAAATTTGCAGGAACAAAGTGCGCGGTGCATCACTTATCTAAAAACAGGTGTACACATGATTTAAAGAAATGAAAGAAAAAGAAAATGGAGGCCAATCAGAGGGAAGACCATAACACTACAATTAATATACAAGGATGAATTTCTCCCTGTTCTGACAAAACAGATCTGCACCCTGACAAATGTTCTTGTATTTTACTAATCTTCTTCATTGACAGATGAGCTTCACCTCTGTCATTCTCTCCCCACTTCCACAGCAGTGGGAACTGTCACAAGGGGTTTTTGAGAAATCCAGTTCAGGACAGAATCACACAGAACATATTATATTTTTAAGTATGGGGACCTTCATATGTGGCCAAGGACACAGTTCTAAAAAGAATACGGCCACATGCGTACGAGACCAAAGTGGTCTGAGTGATCGGATGTTAGGATGCGGTCAGATCTGTACGCCGACCACCGGACTGTGTCACTCTCGAGCCATCCCCTAACACTTCAACTGTGTAACTGTACTCACACTGCATCACCTTCACCTCCTTCCCCAGAGGCATCCACAGGCCCCTGGTGGGGGCGTGTGCCAGGAAGCTCCTGGCGTCTTCATTTCCTGGTTCAGCAGGAATACAGTCCTCTGGCTTCTCATCGTTCTCCTGCAACAGAGTCAACTGACTGACATGTGGCCACAAAGTGTTTTCAACAAGTTCAACACAATCTGTGTCTCTCACATCTGCTCCACATCCACCAGCTGTTGTGTTACCTTTATGAGCCCTGGTGGAGGTTTCTCGTAGCTGGAAGAAGAAAAGTAGAGTGTTACAGCAGAAACATTAATCTGACACTTACCTGTGACAGTAGCATGGTAGTGGGGCTTAATAAGGGCTTTAGGGTCAAGTTATCCTGGAGGTGAGACACTAACAGTTGCAAAGAAAAGATTAAAGTCACATATTTATAATTCATGTACAAGTTTACACGCCTGAGCAGAGAAGCTCTCACTGACATCACTCACAATGTCTCCACGTGCTTCAGCTTCTGGACTTCTTGGTTGAGTTTCTTCGAGTGTGTCTTGAGTTTCTCTAGATCCTGTTTGGAGGACTTGTGTCTCTTGTGCTCTCGTCTGTCCTCCTTCTCTCTCGCTCGCTTTCTGTCCGACATCGTCTCGAGGTCGACGAACTGTTCGCCCGGAAAATCATTCACTTAGAAACAAAGCTGCATTCAGGGAACTTTCTTTTTATTTACGACTCCGTAAGAAACCCCGGCTAACATGCTAACCAGCGGCTAACTAGCAAACATTGCTGTAGTGCTGCTGCTGCAGTACTTCCTGTGCAGCCGGGTTGGTTAGTTAAAGTCCAGCGCCACCTGCAGGACAAGGACAGTAACACACAATGTGCTGTAACAAACATTTAGGTTTATTATTACATCTTTATATATTTTGTATAGTAGTATAGTATTTCATTTTAAAATAAAGTTATATTTAATTCAAATATACACTAAGCATCTTGGATGTTGATAATAATAATAATAATAATAAGGAAAGTTTGTGGAAAAGCGAGCAAATCCTTGAATGAGGGCCACAGGTTGTATTTTCTAATGGTAAACATCTTTCTTTGTGTTATCTCACAGTAACTCAGACTTAGTTATTGATAAGTTGTGGGTTGGGCAGGTAAGACTCCTTTAAGCTTTACTAATCACTGCAGCTATGTTCATGGTATTTTATATGCATAGATATGGATATGAAATCTGCAGTAACATAGAAGTTTAAAGCACTTGTATCAGAGGTTCACATGAAGTTAAGAAGAAAACAGTTGAATAGACTGAAAAGATTTTATTAGAGAGAATCAGGATTTAGGTGGAATACAAATGTAAGATATTTCAGCACTTAAACACACACTGTACACTGAACAGCCAATGGACAACAGGTAATCAGGCAGTATAAAATGCAGTAGATTTCTGCTCTTAACAACAGACAAATTCATACTCAAAGAAAATATTTAAAGAAATCTGAAAGCCCTGACGAGATGTCAATGAGTCTTGTGTGTACAGGTTCAGGCAGAGGAGCCTAAATAACGTAAACAACAACTGGTGAGTCCCACTATTGATGGTCACTGGTGACAGGCTCAATATCTTTTACAAAAATGCAACAGAATTAACAACATATTTACAGCATATCAGTGAAAGTTTAGCCAGCAGCTTTAAAATACAGACACACATACTGAGTAAAAATAAAGCAAGTAAAAACATTCAAATACAAATTTTTTTAACATCAAGTAGTATGAATACCAAACACTTTTATGTTACATAAAGGTATAATTGTGACTTTAGAAAAGAAAATCCAAAATGGAGGAGGCCATTGGCATGTAAACCAGCTCATATGCCACACACACCACCACAGAGCAAAGAAATGTTTCCTGTGATGTTTCAGCCATTTGATAAATAATTAAAAAAAATCCTCAGACATTCCACTTAAAGAAAAATCACCTGTTCAGGAGATCATAAGAGGCGTGTGCGAAATTAGACAAAAGAAACTCGCTCCTCTGATCAGCAGAGGATACAATAACCCTGATTTACAGGTGAAATAACCAGCCCCCCCCGTGCTGCCATTTTCTACATTCAGGATTCCACAAGCGCCATTCCACATAGCCCAGCAATAGTTGTGTGTTGGCGGGCAAACTGAGAGCTTTTCCACACAGGCTCTGAAACCAAAGTTACTCTCTTTAGTTCCCCCTCAGTTACAGAACAGGTCCAAGCACTGTTTGTTTTTTTTCAGTATGTAAGAGACACTTAAAGTGAGGACAGAAAATCTTTCAAGCCGCCCTTCTTGCTGCTCTTGTTGTCCTCGCGCATGAGAATCTTGCTGAGACGCTGGACAACCCAGTTTTTAGATTTGGAGGGAGTCTTGGAGGAAGATGAGCCCGACCCTGAAGTGTTGGAGGAGGTGGACGATCTGGGGAGGGAGAGAGTGAGAGTGGAAGGGAGGAAGAAGAGGTGAAGGAGAGGAAGGAATGATTAACATAACGTAACTTGAGATTTTGTTGGTTGGCAGAAAAAACTAAAAGTGTCCTGTCAACAAGTACATGATCTGGTGAGCATGAATACCAGCACGTAGCACCTGGACGGCTCACTACGGCTCTCTAAATGCTGACCGAATAGAAACCTAATCATTCAAACGTCTGTGACACCCACCAAGTTAAGTTGAAGATGGTTATATCTAAAATTTTAGGTCAGGAGATATTAATACCAGCAATCTGAAATAACTCACCTGGGTGTGTGAGCAGGTGTCTTGTCTTTGCTAGGAGTTTTAGGGGTAGTCATGTTGGACTTGCTGGTGGACTGTGGAGTCCGGTGTTTGCCGTGGCTCCCCGGGGTGCCATGGGTCTTTGCGATGGTTGCTATGAAGTCCCTGTTCATTCCTTTGTGTCTGGAAGTCTTATTACAGGTGTGGCAGGTGGCCATCTGGAATAAGTAAAGGAAAATAGAATAATGATTATATAAAACCACTCTGGTACATAATAAGGTTTTCGAGGTGAAAGCAAAAAGGTATTCCAAGTGAGATACTTAAAAATAAAACATATTGCAGTTTTATAAAAGGTCCTTAAAACTACCAGCATGAAAATCTAGGAGAAGGGATGAATCTTTCTTCCTTCCAACCTTTATTTTTCCTCAAATCCAGTATTGCTACAGCTGTTGGACTTTCCCTGACAAGCACAGTCACACAGCTGAGGAGGAAGAGTTCACAATGGAGTCCAAGAAGAAAATTCATGACAGGACATGAGTCACTCAACAGCTGAGATTCTTCCCACTGGCCCTGCCAAACATCCCTGAGATTATCTTACCTTTGAATGTTTGCATACATATGAAAATAACTGGATTAGTTAAAGCAGGAGGGGGGTGAAACTTTAACTTTAGCCAATTAGAAGGCAGGGAAGAGCTGTTGCCATGCAGTTCCACCTATTCAGGGTATGGATGCTCTGGGAGCCGTCAGTCAGCTCTTGCAGTTAACCTCTCTGAACCGGGTTGATTAACCTCAATTATTTAGTCACAGCTAAGTTTAAGCTTTACAGCACCTCACATGACAAAACTCTAAATTATCTCCTGATACGTATTACACCTCGCATGCAAAGGGGAAAACATGAGTTCCTATATAAAAGCACTTGATGGTGTTATGAGGCAGAACTGCCACTTCATGAGATTCTCATGATTCAGGGACTTCTACCTCCCGCTGTCATGTCCCAATAAAAATGTATAGTATAGCAACTACCTACACTGACTGGGACAAGCCACAAACACACAACCACATGTTCTGTTGTGATCTAAATACAGCACAAAGCCATCTGCATGTTCAGTGTTATCATTACACTGTTGTACATTTAGATGCTTCTATGGAACAGCTGACCAGCTTTCGCACGTGAGACTCCATCATTAGATCAAGTGACAGTAACTATTTGGAAACAGTCCCATCATCCCAGGGATAAGCTGACTCTATACATGAAACAAATCACAGGCACTAAGTTTCTGTCATTGTTTCTTACTCCAGAAGACCCTGTTACACTTTGCTCACAGTAGAAAATGCAGCACAAAGTATAACGTGTTATTAAGAGTTGATAAACTCTTTCTTAACATTCCTCGTGCCTGTAATTTACTCTAACCCATCACAGACACAAGCCATCCAGAGTTGCACAAGCTTAGAGGTGGTCTAAACAGACCACCAGTTCAGAGATCAGCAGGTCTGAACCGAGCTGTTGACAGTCATGAATGCTGATGTGATGGAAAACTCACCGACACGAACGTAGCCATTTCAGATTCTGACAGGTGTCTGCCGGAGAGTGTTGGAGAGTTGGGTTTCGATGATGTGAGGTCCTCTGTCTCTCTATGTGACCGTGTGTTAAGTGTTTACTACAGCAGCCCCACACGTCCAGCTTTATACAGACCCAGCCCAGCAGCTGACCCACCCATCTTTGCATAGGGGTGTGGCTCAGAGCAGGACTGACCAATGCAGCTCATCTGTGGCACAGCCAGCACACCACCGTTACTCTTCAACATTGACACTTCAATCCAAACACGTGCAAATTGAAATTGCAAACAAAAAACAAAAAAAAAATTGGAACTTCATCTTAACATCCAAACACAGACAGGTGCGGCTAAAGGTTGTGTTAAAAATCCTTGAAGATAAACATTGTTAAATATTTTATTGTTAGTGTATGCAAATATCACATGGTATATTTCAGCTATTTGTACACAAACTTTGCTTGTTCAAATCAATGGGTCCTAAGTCAAAGAGATAAGATAATAGTCAAAACACTGGAAGAAAAGCTGCAGGACAATACTGTGGAAAACATAGTTTTCAGGTTTAAGGCAGGTCTGCAGATTTAAATTTCAAGTTTCTTACAGAGCTGAATGTCTAATACATTAAGTGTTGATATTAATGTTATTGGCTTACTTATTATTGATCATTTAAAAATCCCTAATCATTTCCAAATGAACACAGGAAGGTGATCGACAGTCTCAACAGTAAATCAACTACTCAGTGGAAAAGGTTTGCATTTAATGTTTCTGTTTTCTGTTTGTTTCCTGAGTTATTATGATATGGTATAAAATTATTTCTTTCTAACTGCCAAATAGGCAAGTCTCTATTTCAGCAGATGAAGCTTTACTCAATAGTAAAAGCCTTTGAATCAACTTGAAATAACTGCCACACCTCATGATAATAATTGCTGAATAAAAAGAAGTTGTAATAGATACATTAAGACAGATGTTATCCATAAGGCTATTCAAAGTTATTATTCAGGAACGTTAACATTTTCTTATTGTATTCAGCTTTAAAATGCACTAATATTACAAAGCTGTGGCTCAGGATGTTTTACTTGCACAGTGTTTTGATCATAGGGTTGAGGAATTTCAGAGAAACAGTGGTGGTCGTCTGTAACAAGTAGAATGTCACTCCACCCAAAGATGTGGGTTCATGAGTAAAAGAGGAAAATATCTATCATACTTAAGTATCCTCAAGCCCAAGACTGATTTTCTAATGTTTCTAGAGTGTCCCAGCACTCTCATCACTCTCATCACACTACACAGTCTTCAAGACTACATGGAGAAAACTCAATATGCATTTAGAAAATGTGTGTTTGACTGATTGTAAGCTTTAAGTATTTCATTAACACTTCTTTCTTGCAACTGTCAAAGTAGTAAAATAAAAAAATGCCCACTTCGGAAAATGATTTGCACTGATGCCGAAGATAA